TAAAAATGTGAAAAATCTTTGATATCATACATATATGATAAATTCTAAGTAGAAATAAAACTGAAAAAACTAATTATAAAAAGTTATGAGTTCATTTTACTAAAAATTATGATGAATAAATCAGCACGGCAATGCTGTAATTTAAATAATAATTGCAAGCATATGATGTTATATTAATCTTCGCTTATACGATCTTAATTAAATACAAACATAATATTATATTAATATATTCCTACATTTATTTATCTAAATAAAATTTATTTTAAAAACAACAACAACAACAACAACAACAATTTATGTATTTTTTTAATGTTCTGCTTAAGCAGAAATTGTGAATAAAAAATAAGATGTGAACTATCATAATATATATATATACATATATTATTTATATATATTTCCTTAATAATAGCGAACATACTTAAATTTCATTAATTTTACATATGAAAACTCTTTTACCTTGGCAATAAATTCATATAACCTAAATCTCTTCCTTTTTTTATTAAGAATTTTACTTTTACCTAATTTTCCGCATAATTTGAATACTTTTCCATCTGCGATAGAAATATAAGGTGGATAAATTTAATATTATTATATTATATTTTCAAGAATAAAAAATATTTTTTTAATTAAAAAGAGCCGATGTGTAAATTATAGTATACTACCTGGAACAAAATTATTATTTAAAGCCCTACAATTTAATATAATAACTTAGTAGGATTGCTGATCTATAATGTAACAAGATATATTATTTAATGCGTATGGAAGGGAAATGGAATTTAGCACTACTTCCTGATACGGAAATAACGCGAGTAAAAATGCGATGGACGTTTATAAACATACACGGACGATGTGTGTGGGTGTGTGTATTGATAATATAAATAGAACAATTATTCATAAACACATGGTAAAACATCCGTGTATCCACAAATCTCAAGCTTAACAGAACCAACAGAAATATTGATTGATTTAAGCCAATATCGAGTAAGAATTTAATGTATAAAATCTGTAGCTTGAAGAAAATAATTACAATGAATAATTAAGTGTGGTTGTCGAAAGGTTGAATGGACAATAAAATAACGAAAATGGACAGCAGCCGTTATTGATAAGAACATACAGACTCTACTGACTCCTTAAATTGAAGAAAATATAAAGTTTTGTAAGGTGACCTCGAAGAAGGATGAAAAAAATAAAATTTTTGAAAGAAGCACGAAACAATAACCGGTGACTTTGTTGGCAGTTTTCTAAAAGAATTCTTACTCGGGGACAGGTGACAGTAGCATAAACGTATTGATTTTTGTTTTCCATGTTGAGGAAAACGCGAGTAGAGCTGGACTTTATGGATTATAGAACGGCTAAATCGACGCTCGGCCACTTATTCGAACTTACATAACCTCTGTCCCTTTCTTTGACTCTCTTTAAGTCTTTAAGAGGATAAAGAATTGCGTAAAAAATAATAATTGGTTTGATAAAGGAATCGCTAGATTATTTGCCATATTCTTCAAGCAATTCTCAAAGAGGTCGAGTAAACTTTCAAATAGCGCCCTTAATATTATCACTTTCTTTATAACCAAATATAGATATTTTTATTCATCGATTGCCGTATGCTGTTATTTTTATACATATTGGTCAACAATGTCAAATGTAACGCTGCCTTATACTCTTTTCAATTTGCTTTTGAAGAATGCTTTCTTATTAGTTATGTTTAATCGTATAATAATGTTAGCCAAATATGTTCAATATTAGAAAGAAGAAAGACTGGCTCTCATTCCCCGGAGAAGCATAAATATAACCTGAGTAACTCTAAGTGTCATGAATAAAATGTTCCCCAGCCTTCGCGTATCTGATTTTTCTAGTGCACGCGGCTTCTCCTCCCTCCCATACAGCCGCGAGCACTGAAAGTACGAACACAGGCACGCGTATATATGTATAAAAAAAAAAAAAAAAAAAAAAAAAAAAAAAACCCGAGATAGAGTATACCTGTACCCTTAAAACCAGGGTGCAATGGTAGCACGAGTGAAGCCGATGTTATCGAGCCTATAAGTGCATTTCAGAAATATATAATAATAAATTTCATAATAGTAATAATTATTATTATTATTTAGAGTGACTGTTTTGTATGATAATTTCACGTTTATATTAAATGTTCGTGCATTAAGAATTCAAATGAAATATTGTATTTTTACTCTTATGTATGGGTATGTATTTTTATTCTTCGTTACTTCTAATTTCTTGAGGTTATTATAAAAAAAAAAAAAAAAAAAAAAAAAAAAAAAAAAACCCGAGATAGAGTATACCTAACCGTAAAGGGAGCGGATAATTTTGAATCGTTGAAAATTTTTCATTCTCGCTAGCTTACTCTGCGATATTACATTTTAACTAAATAATTAATTCCGCTTATAATTTACTGTACTATTTATTTAAGCATTTTTCCCCAAGGCAGTTTATAATGCGTTGTAATTGTTGTAGACACAACCTCTAGTTTAATATGTAAGAGGATAGCGATACTTTGCATTATTAGCCACTTTAGCGCTTATACCAGCCAATGGGAAGATAAGAAAATAATATTTTCCTTTATCCCGTTTATAAAGAACATATGGCCGGCACTTTAAGCAACGCGAGCTCCAACATTCAAATACCAGAGCTTCGTTTAATTTTCTCGTTTCGCTTTATTAATTCGCTTATTTATTATTTACCATTTACGAATGAAATATTTAGGTTACAAAGAGAAAGTAATGCAGGCCAGTGGCGCCATATCATTCATTATGTATACATGTAAGCAAACCACTTATCTTAACGACAATAATGAACGTTTACATGAAAAGAGTAAGATAATAATGTACTTGGACTTAAATAATGGTTATTTAAGGCTATATTTTACGAATAAATAAGGTGGTCGGGTATTGGATATTGAAAGGGGATTTAAAAATTAAACTAGTTATTTTCTGTGAAAGTGGAATGACCAGAGGCAGCTGGGAGATTGATAGTCGGGAGAGCCGAATAGAATAGGAGCGGAAACAATGAAAAAGATATTAGGGCGAGTCACAGTACAAGCACACACGATATTCGTGCATATAACGAAATTAACGATGTGTAATGTTTAAGCATGCATAAATGCGCGCGCGCCCACGAATTTCCGACAGTTGAGAAACGCTTAAAGGCAGCGGCGAACGAGCCTCCGGTTGAAATTAATCGAGCCTTGACTTTTTTCTCTCCCATCGCATGCACAAGGGTTCGCTCGCTCGTAAGCTTCTTATCTAAAAATGCAATGTATATAAAGTTCCTCGTCGTTAAAGATTATCGGGCTAAATTTTATACAAACAAATAATATATCGCTCACTCGTAGTATCTTAATCGTCTCCGATATGCATTACAGCCTTACCTCTTACCTTACCTCTTTGACTCATCGACTTTGCATCTTTGTAGTTGGGAAGTCACGTAAGACAATAATGTAATAGGTGTCGCAGCAGATGACAATACTGGACAACGAGGCTATGGATTTTGTAATAATAGGCGCTACCGAAGCTTACAGTCTATATGACCTGACATGCCTACACACTCGCATTAACCATTAGACGCGCGCGCACGTGAAAATAAGCATTACGCAATATTTAATGACTCGAACGTAACACTACGTATTTAATTTCTTACCAAATACTCGTTCGAATGCGTATCGATGCTAAGGATCCGCCCGATGGCGACCATTACCACGCGATCTATAATTCCGTCACGAATTGCAGATTGATAAGCACCAGTGATTAATAATCGAATGACAATGGATTTAATATATCGAATCCGCTTTAATCGATCGATCATAAGGGCAGTATCTACGTAAATGTACGAATTAATTATGTATTTCAGAATTAACAAGAAGAAAGTTACTTCACCATCTCATTAATAATATCTTCCAGTAAAAATGTAAAAAAACTTTTAATTGCATTGGTAAATTCACACGTTATTATAATTGATACATAGCAGCTCATTAATATTTATATATTTCATTTATGATTCTTTTGAAGAGTAGACGTAAAAAAATAAATGCATAATAAATATTTAAAAGAAAATTATATTAATTACTAGTACAATGCGACTCTTTCTTCCTTTAAAAGTTTGAGCTTTTTAATTAATATTAAATTTGCGCAAAAGGGGCATGTATAATTCTGAAATAAAAGAAGTTTCAGGAAATAAATGTTTAAAATAATAATAATAATAATAATAATAATAATAATAATAATAATAATAATAATAATAATAATAATAATAATAATATTTGATTTTCACGAAATTTTAACCAAATGTATATAAGATTTTTAATAAAAATTATCAAAAATTATGTCAAACAAATTTAAATAAAAAAGTAAAAGCAGTCGATGTCTTTAGTTTTTGTATCGAAATAGTACGGATACTGCAACATATTGTTCCTCTAATGAAGATATAATAGATTGTAAAAATATATTTATACACAAATTTCAAAGTAAATTTGCAATAACGTAGTAGTATAATAAGAACATTTCTTAGTTTTTGGTATATGTTTCTCTCTCTCTCTCTCTCTCTCTCTCTCTCTCTCTCAATTTTCATAAATTGTAAAATTAAAGGAAATTCATATAATATAATAATATAATACTTAATGCTCTGGTGAATTTAGTATAAAATTTTTACCCTATTTTATTCAGAATATATAATATTAAATTTATAATAAATGTATCGAAATTATATATTAAAGGTATTTATCGAAAATTTGACGGTATTTGATCATCGTTATTAGCCCAAGTAAAGACTGTTGTACGTAAGCTTGGAAAACCGATTAATTCGACGCTTCGTCCTTATATTCGTCCACATTTACACATGACTATTTGCATCTCTATTTGCATTAAAAATTCCACTCGTGATCCAACCATTAGAAATAAATAACGCATTATCCACTGTGCTTATTATCAATAATTAATAATTAATAATTAATATTATAATCAAGATTTTGTTGATTTCTCATCTACTTTTTCTAGATGGCGAATCATGTCACCCTTACAAGCCCTTTAAATGCCCGGAAGACGATACGTGCATCTCAATACAATACCTTTGCGACGGAGCACCAGACTGTCGAGAAGGCTACGATGAAGATCCAAGACTTTGCACGGCCGGTGAGACAATATCGATAATTTTTATGCGCACAGCGACTTTTTCAATGCTCGATATACTCGATATAAATATATTCAGATCCTTATATATTTATGTTGTCGTAACTTCTGATATGAGCTAGCGTATCATTATATTAAGAAATTTCCCTTAATTATTCTCTTAATTAACAAATTTTTCTTTTTAACTTTTTCAACATTTGACAGTCTAAATTTACAATTATAACTTAAATAAAAATATGTTATAAAATCTTTAATTTATCTTAATTTTTAATCCAACTTTTTATATTGAATATTTAATAATTTGCTCGATAAATTCAACATCGTTTCAAAATATTTTCGTATTGGGTAAGCAATGCAATCAAACTTTCATAAATGATTGGCGTCTATGATACGTTAATTTATTTAAAAAATGGCCACTCAATATTATCTTCTATTGATACAATACAAGTACGCTTGCATACGGAGATAATTTTCTTTATTATATTACATTGGAATAATCTTGCAAAATAATCCAATTGTAAAGTATTTGTCGTTAATAAGGAAATCTAAACAGCATTATTCTATCCCAATTGTTATTGACGAAATATAATTGAAAATAGATTGTTAAAGTCACTTTGGCACGATCAATTCGAAAGATTCAATGTTAAATCTCAATGAAATATCATCTCAAAATTAATTTCTTTATAAAAGACAATATTGAATCGTATAATATATGTAACATTGAAATATAAATCTCAACGCTAAAACAATAAATTGTCCCTGTGTTATAAACGAAAATATTTCTAAAGTCGAAACTATAGTTTACCTGGCGTTTCTTTCCTTTAAAAGGAGCTTTTGGCAAAAGCTTTATGACACAATCCTATTGAGATTTGGCACATTAAAATTTAATACTTGTGCTTGCAATATACTTACTTTTAATATTATTCAACTGCTTATTTATATAAGTAAATCCATAAATTTTAATAATATATCTAAATAACAAAAATTTATTTTTACACATATCAAACCTTTGTTAATATTTATTAAAAGGCACATACAATATATTTATAGCTGAATTTTATCACCAATAATACTATATTTATTATTATCATTAATATATTAATCGATGCTTTAAAAATGACGAAATTTAATTATTTCCTGTTAATTACAACAAATATTGAAATATTTACTCCGTTGAATTTCTTACAGCAACAATAATTTAAAAGTTCACTCTATTCATACATTACTAGATTGTAGTTGACACTTTGTTTCCATATATTATCAGCAGTAGTTAATATTTATACAATTTCCGTATAAATGCAATTATACTCATAGAAGCGATTTTAATATGCGGATGAAATAAATCCATATATACATATGTATATATATATATATATATATATGTATATATATATATATATTACATAGTTTCTCATCATTTGTGTAAATTCTTGAAATTTTATTTAAACAATAAAACAATATGTTAAAAATATATGTAGGATGTAAATGGTACAAACACTTCCGAATTTGAGTGTACATGAATTTAATGAAAGTTATTGAATATTATAAATAATACGTTGGATTATAAGGCATTTTGTAATGTTTATATTGATTGAAAATCGAAAAACAAATTATTATTATATCAATGTTTATTTAATGTAAAGAGAGAAAAAAAAAACAGTTATTATCGTATGCAAAATATTGTATTAAAGTAAAAAATTTAAACGAAGCAAATATTTTAAACCATTATACTAACTTATGATACATTAAATTTTCACTCCAATCATTCAAAATATTTATACTTTTTTTAACTCAATTCATAAAATGTTTATGAATGTAAGATAAATTGAAATTTTTTAAATTACAATTTTATTCAAATGAAAATATTTCCAATTTAGTATAATTTAATAAAGTATCGAATATAATAGATTTTATAAAACATAAAAATTATATTAAAATTATTTTCATTATTCAAATGGTGTTTAGATATTAAAATATCTTTAAATAATATTATTTCTAACAAGCTTAGCTAGTGTAAATAAACTTCAAACTTTAATTAAAATTCAAATAGCTCGAAACTTATTGAACTGATTACTTATAAATTCGACTAATATAAACCAAGAATCCAGTATTTGTTTATAACATTATATTTTAATATATTTTTACTTAGAGTTCTTAATATTTTTCCGCTGTTTTTGTTTAACCTGCTGTTTGAAAATGCAATCTGTCTAATTAATATATTAATTACTCCAAGATACATATCCTTCACAGCATATGCAGAAAATATCTTGTTTCTATATTGAATTGTGTTTCTGCAATATTATTTATCAGCTGCTCATCTTAAATAAAGATTAACAAATTGTTAGGCAAATAAAAGACTTTACCCTCAGAGACCTCCATGAATCGGGAATTCGTGAATAAGATATAATCGAGTACACGACTCTTGCAGAATTAAACAGTGCAGTGAATATTAATTAAGATTCCAATCTTTCTCATACTGGTTTTATGTAGTCTGTTGTCTGGTTGAAACGACGCAACTTAAGGTAGACAAAAGGTAGTGCGGAAAGAGCGATAAGACGTATAATCGAAAGTCGGAAAGCAAACTATTTTCCTGACATCAAACACTTTACGACAACATCTACCGAAACAATCTCTTCATCCGCAAACAAAGGATTTCAAATAACCCATAGCTGTGCTAAATACCAAGAACATTTTCTAGTTGAATTTTCGTATTCGAGATTTGGGTTTCGTAAGAAGCAGACACAATTCGACCGAGAATCATCCGATAAGAAATTATATTAAACAAATTTGTCGGTTCTATACACAGATACGAGCGCATACCCACGCGCGCACGCACACGCGCACATACACGCACAATAATACATATTCAGCATGCGAAAAATATATAAAAAGAAATTTTTCAAGTGTTTCGATATTATAAAACCTACTTTTACTCACAAGATATGCGTGAAGAAATTGAGCACTTTTATGTCAAAGAATCTATACATATTTAAGAAATAATTGTAATAATTGTTCTTTTCCAATTGACCCGTCTATATATTTGCATTAAATAATATATAATAAAGTTCAAAATTATTCGAAAGTATGAAAAAGGAAAAAAAATGATTACATTTACAATTTTACAAGAATTTTTAATGATCAAATCAAATTTATTACAGTACAATTTCATAAATAAGCTTAAAATTTGAATTCTCTGCTTTTCACACAAGATTCGACACAAATGCAAATGCAGTTTAATAAACAAACAATCAATGCTAAGTTATTATGCGAAATTTAATTTACAAAATACATACGAGACAAACTATTCCAATTTTTCTCAAACGTATGTCAAGCTTATAGATGATTTTGTTTGTCGGCAATGCCCTCGTTAAAGCTATTTCCTCACTATATGGGCGCTTCCATTTGTGATACTTTTTGCGATTGCTTATCTACAGCTATAACCTTGGACTCGTCGTAGATGTTCCCAAAGCAATCTTTCATCCCTAGGGAGAAAGTCAATTCTATTTTAAGCACAATTCAACGTGACGGAGAAAAATAGAGCGAATTAGGAAATCACGCGTAAACCGATTGAATGGAGACTTTGTTCGTGATCATTTTTTTTTTTAAAAAAAAAAAAAAAAAAAAAAATTGACACTCTACTTTTATATGTTAAATTAAAAAAATCAAAGCTTTCCAGAGCACTTTTCACTTTTCTTCGTATCTTAATGTGAGCGATGACTAGCGTGTGATTGGTTGTATTATTTGCAAATGTTGGTCCATCATCTGTCACAATTTACATAATTATTTTCTTCAATATTTCCGTAGGTAAAGCTATTTATTAAGACAATTACAAAGTAAATAAAAATAATCGACAATATGAGACGTAAGAAAGTGATGTGTGTTGTGAAAGTAATAAAAATTATGCGAATTTAAACGAGTTGAAAGATAAGGTGAGAGAAAACAAACTTTGTAACTCAATAACTAAATAATGAATTGTAAGTTAATTTGTAAATTAAGTTATAATTCTAAAATTTGACAACAATTAAGATATGAAACATTATATGAAATATTTAATGATATTTTAATAAATATTCTGAGCATACTTTCTTTGTTGTAAAGTATTTGTTGTTAAATTGTAAAAATCGAGGTACTGAAAATCATTTATTGTTATTGCTACTAATGCATTGAGAATGTAATTGGCTTTTATATTATTTTATATAAATTAGTAGTTTAAATTACTTTTGTCCTGAATTGTAATAACTAAAGTGGCAGTTGTGATTGCTTGTCACATGAGCCGTGCACACTCTATTGTCGGCAAGCGAGCGATACTTGGAGAAATGAAAAGTAACCGCCCATAGTAAGACGACTTTGAAAACTCGTTGAAAGAGGAGAATAATGAATAAATCGATGTAACGTCGATATCAGGAAATCAATATCGAGCAATACTGTCTCGAGTATGAGCATCGAAGTGATTAATTAGCCTTAAATTATTTAAAGATCATTAAGACTTATAGGAATGGAAAATACTTCTCAATATGTGAATTTTAATAAGAATTTTATTATGATAAAATGTATTTAATGTTTTGTATTATTTACAATAAAATAGACAATAACCAAATTATCTGAGTTCGGTTAATATTGCAATATATATCACACGCGCTGCTTACATAATTTTTTTTATAGCTACATATAATATATATTACATTAACTAATTGCAATAATCTAAATCTCGTTAACATTAAATTAAGGAAATTTCTAACGTATATTATCACGCATGATGATTTTTCTAATATCTGGCTCGACTATGCATAAACGCTAAATCGACCATAATCAATATACACAGATAATAAAAATTAATTTGGTCAATGATCGAATTGCGACGATTTAAGTATCTATGCTCACTGCCACGTTCCACGAAGATTTAAGTAATCTGTAAACATGCTTTGTATAATAATAATAAAGTAACTAAAATGTCTCTCTCTCTCTCTCTCTCTCTCTCTCTCTTTCATTCTCATTCTTGCATG